GGAGTAGAGGAGACATGTCCACTGGTTGTCCCTTAGGCTATAGAGAGATAGTGTTCCCATCCACCAAACTCAAAGGAGTGACCCAGGGCAGGGATTCAGGAGGAATGCTGATTTGGAACAAGGAAAAACTTGTACACTCAATAGAACTCATCAAAAAAGGCGAATTTTCAATTTGGCTCAAAATAAAAAGAGAGGTGGTCGCCATGGATAAAGACATTTTCATGTGTACAGCATATATCCCCCCATCAGAATCACCTTACTATAGTGACAATAGTTTCTCCATTCTTGAAGATGAGATCAATCAATACCAGGCCCAGGGAAGTGTACTGATCTGTGGGGACCTTAATGCCAGGACAGGTATAGAACCAGATTCTATTAGCCCACAGGGAGACACACATATACCTGGCCAAATCAGCATTCCCCTCCCTTCACATCCCCACAGGAACAACTTTGACAAAACTGTCAACAAAAGCGAGCAGCAACTAATGCAGCTGTGCCGAACGCAGGGCCGGTACATTGTTAACGGTCGGCTTCGAGGGGACTCCTTTGGTCACTACACACACAGCTCTCCTCTTGGCAATAGCTCAGTAGATTATAGCATCACAGACCTCGACCCCTTCTGTCTGAGGGCATTCACAGTCAGCCCCCTAACACCCTTATCTGATCATAGTAAAATTACACTTTACATTAAGAAGACAGTAACAGACCCTCACGCAGCAGAACCCAGTAAACTGAACTATACCAAACAACCTTATAGATGGACAAACAATAGCAAGGACGAGTACCAGAAAGCAATCAGACATCAAACAATTCCAATTAGACCATTTTCTATCCACCCCATATCCCCACAGTAATGATGGCCTGAATCAGGCTGTGTGGGATATTAACAGCATCATTGACAATGTGGCAGATTTATCCAATCTGAAAAAACCACAATATCATAAATCAAAAAAGTCAACCAATGAAAAGTGGTTTGATACAGACTGCTGACATCTGAGAAAAACCCTCAGAAGTTTATCAAATCAAAAACACAGACAACCTGACAATCCTGAGCTCCGCCTCCAATATTGGGAAACACTGAAAGTATACAGAAGAACACTCAGAACTAAAAGGGAGCAACATGTGCAGCACCAACTTGAAATCATTGAAGAGTCCATTGATTCAAATCATGTCTGGAAGAGATGGCACTCTTTCAGCAAACCACACAAGGAAGAACTGGCTATTCAAAATGTATGTAACCTGTATAGTACCGTTACACTGAATTCGGCCCAAAATGATCTCCTCAACAAACTACAAATTCTAGAATCAGTCGTTAAAGACAACCAGAACCCTTTAGACTATAACATTACTGAGGAAGAGCTCCTGGCTAAACTCCAGGCCCTCCAACCAAGGAAGGCCAGCGGTCCTGATGGCATTTTAAATGAAATGCTCACATTTAGCAGCCATAAGTTCAACACTGCCATGTTGAAACTATTCAACCTCGTTCTGGGCATTGGACATTTCCCTGACATCTGGAGCAAAGGAATCATCACACCAATATTTAAAAATGGAAATAAATTTGCCCCAAACAATTACCGAGGCATATGTGTCAGCAGCAACCTGGGGAAGTTATTCTGCAGCATCCTGAACAGCCGACTGCAAGACTTCCTCAGTGAACATAATGTCCTGAGCAAGAGTCAGATTGGATTTACAACATCGGACTACAGACCATATATATACCCTCCACACCCTCATTCATAAACATGTTCACCAAAATAAAAAGATTTTCTCTTGTTTTGTAGATTCCAAAAAAGCATTCGACTCAATTTGGCATAACGGTCTGTTCCTGAAGTTGATTGAAAACGGTGTAGGGGGGAAAACATATTATATCATTAAAACAATGTATACCAATAATAAATGTGCGGTGAAAATTGGCAATATGGAAACAGAGTTCTTCCCCCAAAGTAGAGGGGTGAAACAGGGCTGCAGTCTCAGCCCCACCCTGTTTAACATTTATATTGATCAATTTGCAAAATCATTAGAACAATCCGATATCCCTGGACTCATCCCTCTCTGACACACAAATGAAATGCCTCCTGTTTGCAGATGATCTAATATTGCTAGCTCCATCTAAGGAGGCATTACAACAGCAAATGGATCATCTGCAAAGCTTCTCTCAGACCTGGGCCCTGACAGTTCATCTGGAAAAGACCAGGATTATGGTCTTCCAGAAACGACCCAGGGGTCGGGGAAACCCACACCGGCTCTTACTGGGCTCCACTGGCATAGAACACACACAGCTACACATTTTGGGACTCAAAATTACTTCGACAGGAAATTTCAATCTGGCCATTAATGATCTCAGAGACAAAGGAAGAAAGGCTTTCTATGCTATCAAAAAGTCTTCAAATATAGATATACCTTAGAATCTGGCTCCAAATATTCAATTCAATAATAGAACCAATCATACTGTATGGTAGCGAAGTGTGGGGTCCTCTTGGAAATCAAGACTTTGATCAATGGGACAAACACCCAATAGAAACCCTACATGTGGAGATATGCAAGAGCATCCTGAGAGTCCACAGGAACACCCCCAACAATGGATGCCGAGCTGAGCTAGGCCAATTCCCCCTTTTAATTAGGATACAACAAAGAGCAGTCAAATTCTACAACCACCTAAAAACCAGTGATCCCAACTCCTACCATTACAAAGCCCTCCATTGAGAGGAGTCCCCTCAACCAGCTGGTCCTGAGGCTCACCTCCTCTAACAGGACAAGGCCTCAGGACAGCCCTCACACAATCTGGCCCAACCAAATCATAGCTAAAGAAAAAGAAAATTACATCAACTATTGGACATGTCCCACGAAAACCCAAAACAAACTTCAATGCTATTTGGCTCTAAACAGACCGTACACGGTGGCAAACTATCTGAGCGCCGTGACTGATCCCAAACTGAGGAAGACGTTAACAATGTATAGACTCAGTGACCACAGCCTGGCCCTAGAGACTGGCCGACACAGGCAGACCTGGCTGCCCAGAGAAGAGAGGCTGTGTCAGCTCTGTCCTCAGAGACAGGTGGAGACAGAGAGGAGAGAGGCTGTGTCAGCTCTGTCCTCAGAGACAGGTGGAGACAGAGAGGAGAGAGGCTGTGTCAGCTCTGTCCTCAGAGACGGGTGGAGACAGAGAGAAGAGAGGCTGTGTCAGCTCTGTCCTCAGAGACGGGTGGAGACAGAGAGAAGAGAGGCTGTGTCAGCTCTGTCCTCAGAGCCAGGTGGAGACAGAGAGAAGAGAGGCTGTGTCAGCTCTGTCCTCAGAGACAGGTGGAGACAGAGAGAAGAGAGGCTGTGTCAGCTCTGTCCTCAGAGCCAGGTGGAGACAGAGAGAAGAGAGGCTGTGTCAGCTCTGTCCTCAGAGACAGGTGGAGACAGAGAGAAGAGAGGCTGTGTCAGCTCTGTCCTCAGAGCCAGGTGGAGACAGAGAGGAGAGAGGCTGTGTCAGCTCTGTCCTCAGAGCCAGGTGGAGACAGAGAGGAGAGAGGCTGTGTCAGCTCTGTCCTCAGAGCCAGGTGGAGACAGAGCAACACTTCCTGCTGCACTGTCAAACATACCAAGACATTAGAACAAAGTTCTTTACAAAGATAACATGTGAACTCCAAGATTTTGAATCACTGTCTGACCAGAATAAAATGCAACATGTACTTGGAGAAAATAGTGCCAGCAGCATAGAAGCAGCAAAACATGTGAGCACATGTCACAGCCTAAGAGACAACAACAACACATAACAGCTGTTCCTCTCAGCTCACTCTGATTGCTCCTCTACTTCATGTGTCTTTCTTTTCTTCCTTTCTTTCTTTTTACATTTGATACTTGAGGTTTTGTAATATATTGTTTAATGAATTCTTTCTTTTTTTATTATCATATATCCTTGACGCTTTGGCAATATTGTTCACCTGACATTCATGCCAATAAAGCATATTGAATTGAATTGAATGAGAGACAGAGAGAGAGAGAGAGAGAGAGAGAGAGAGAGAGAGAGAGAGAGAGAGAGAGAGAGAGAGAGAGACGTATTGACTTTATGGTGTTGCCTGCTAGTTTGAAGTATTTTGCTAATGCTGCATGATTTAAATGTCATGAATATTTTTCTGCTGTAAATCCAAACATCCAGCTCACATGTACGCACCATGTGTTTAACTTTAGCGAGCTCCTGCTGCTGAAAGCCCTCCAGTTCATCCAGGTCATCCCTTTTCTGGAAGAGTGCTAAGCTTTGCTCCATCATCTCCTCTAGCCGGGCTGACAGGGCAGCTTTCTCCTAAACAAACACAACAGTTATACCAATTGATGCTACACGTGCATTGTTCATTTTGAGGGTATGAGCAGGTTCCAAGTCCTAAGCCCCTGGAGAAATAAGCCCCTTACACCCACTAACATCTGGCTTTTGATTCTGCAGAGGCAAAGTTACATTCTGCATTCAATCCTGGCTGCAGTAGTCACGGTATTTACCTGATCAGCAGTGACAGACACATGACGCCGGGTGGACACACTGATGTTCGCCACTTTCTGGGCGCGAGCTATGTGACGTGCTTTGAAGGGATTTTATAGTGGATACAGAAGGGAAAAAAATGGTATTTGGACCATTATTATAATTAATAAATGTAAAAACTCCTGTAAGAAAACGGTAACTGTACCTTAATGGTTTTGTTATTTTGAATAAAATAACTTCATTCAAACAGAAACTAAAAGAGACCCAGTAAAACCTATTTGTTAGTCTTTCCACTGCTCTGACATCTCCAACTTTAAAAGTCTGAAATAGACTGAAACAGTGACAGATAAAAGAAGAAGGAACCACTTCTACTTACATCAAACGTGACCCACCAGAAAAAACACACCAAAACAAACTGAAATGCATGCTGGTCTGTTGGTAATGGGGAGGGACTCTACCCCCTCTTCAACCGGGGTTTGTGTTTTTGTAATGTGCATACATGCGCTCATTTTGGTGGAAAAGGGGAAAGTGGGCTTTAATACCTGGAGTTCAGTTTGGTTTCAACCAATTATTAATATTGTTCTAAAATAGTTTCCCTTCAGCTGTGGTCACCCCTTTTACGTACTTTTATAGACAGAGTAGGACACGAGCAGAACAAACTGGTGTAACTTCTTTTTGCTTTCTGATACTTGGTGACAGGCATACTTGATGCCATGGTTGTAACTTTTAAAAATCCTATATAGTATTTACTATGAGAAGATCCTGTGGTTGGTCTGGAACCAGATTGTTTTAAGGTTCTTAACCAGGTTGTTTTCTGTGCACCGGACCTTAATAGACCATTTTCCCACCAGCAGAAGCAAGCCCAACTAAATGGGCAGCAGCACCAACTGAAAGTCAATCACTCAGGATAATGTGAAAACACCGTATTGTGTCCTTGACCCTTCTATATAAAATGTTGAAAACAGTCATAATAAGCTTAATTTCATTCTTATAGAATTAAAAACCCACCTTTTCCAAATCAGTCATCTTCTCAATCCATTCCTGCAGGTAAAGTATAGAAAGTGATTACTGGACATGCCATAAATCAGGACTGTGCATTAAGTGAAACAGGAGAGTTATTTACCTCATCCTTCTTCTCCAGAGCTAGAGCCATCCCCTCTGCCATTTTGGCTCTGCTGGTCTGGTGAGTCTCGTTCTGGTCTTGAAGTTTCTTTATGGAAGCTGGGCATTGACAGTAGGAAAGAAAACAGAAAGGGAAAGATGGAAACCATACAGAGAGGTTTCTATGAAGCCAAAGAGAAGAGACATTTTAAATAGCACAGACAGTGGCATTGTTAGTAGTTGTCTAAAGTAAGAGTCAGATTAGGAAGTGTGTTCATCCCATAAGGCAGTGGTTCTCAAACTTTTTCTGTCAGGCCCCCCCTTTGGAGAAAAAAAAAAGTCGGGCCCCCCCAACACAAGTCAGGCTCAGTGGCGGCGCCAGAGATTTCTTTTGGGGGTGCTGTGGGGTAGCTTGACGTTTCATAGAGGGTGTTCAAACATTTAGGGTTTCCCATTAAAGTACCGGGCGCTACAGTGGAATGTTCTACTGCAACACTCCCCACGCATAAACACAGTGTACCTGCGACTGTTACAATGAAGGCTCGAGGCATATAGGTGTAAGCAGGGGTAAAGTGCTATTTTTATAGGTGGTGTGTGGACCTCACATAGGGGGGTCCGGGGGCAAGCTCCACCGGGAAGATTTATCTATGGATACCTCTCTCAACAACCATATGAAACAGAACTGTAAACAGATTTACTTTTTCTTTATGGATATTTTACAAATCACCCTTTCAAACTTTATTCTTGTTTTACTGTCATAGTATTTCATACCTGTTTTTCATTTATTCTCTTATTGTTTTATAACTATAATGATCATTATAAACGTGTGCCTCAGAAATAATTGTTTACATTAATGGTGACCAAAACGTTTGAGACCCACTGAGATAACACTGAGAGTCCTTTAGCTCACTGAGTCTCTCAGTCTGACAGGAGAGGACTCTCCTCCACTTTGTTGTTGAAAAAACTCCTTATATCCGTTAGCGTAGCTCGCTAGCACCAGAAGCTAACAACAACGATCTCCGGTACCGGTGCGCTCTCTCTCTCTCTCGCGCACACACACACACAGAGTCGAGCTTTAATGAAACACAGAGACCCAGACGTAATAGTACTGTACTCCATCATATTATTTTCGAATCAATAATTTTTCAATTTATGATTATTTATTTATTTTTATTTTATTTTTTATAGCCATCTTTCCTCCTGGTCCCTGGCATGCCTCTGCGCCCCCCACTTTGAGAACCACTGCCATAAGCAAAGACAGGCAATGCTTAGCAGCTGACACAAACTAAAAGCACAATTTGTAAAAACAAACACTGCAAATATTGTGTGAACTCAGAAAAACACTGTAAGAAGAAGTAGCTTCACTTTTCATTAAAAGCATGGGAACTTTCCTCACAGCCGTCTCCAAGGAACGGGACAGAGCTCTGTCACTGGGGCTCAGATTGTGATATTTGTCCTGCACTAACTCAAATCAAGCACCAAAAATGCACCAAAACTTCAACCTCAGAGTCAAAGAAGATCTACAGTATAAACTTAACATTGTTATCAAAAGTACCTGCAATAGAAGTGTGTCCAATCTACCAGAGTGCAACACAGCTATAAGACATGTTATAAACAATGGATGTGGATCTGCAATAGTCTAAATGTTGTTATTGCTCATAAGCACTCATACACATGAGTCCAGCTTTAAGTAACAGGCAATTAAGGTAGTTGTCACAGATTGTAGGAAATCTAGGAAACTAACGTAGGTGTGTGAGGCGATTGAGAGAAAGTGAGTACACCAACAAATGAATAGAAAATGCAAAGATTACTTATTATTAATATGCTAATAAATAGTAGAAACGTGTTAAGGGTGAATTAGATTAGAAGTGAAAGCATTCAGCACTCCCAAAGCAAACGTCTAAAGCTGATACTGACGTATAAGGTTCTGAATAAAAAACATCTTTATGGTAGAAGATGATAGGCTAGGTGATCGTTATTAACAGCAGAAAGACAGATGAGAGAAAGGAAGCTCATTGGGAGGAGAGTAGAGGTACGTACAATCCTGTTGCATTTCTAATGCAATTTCAAGCTTGTCCTTGGTCTTCTGCATAATTCGTAGCTGCTCAGCGTAGTCTAGTGTTGAGAGGTGGGGATGATGATCACACACACACACACACACACACACACACACACAAACGAGGGAGAAAGCAAAAGGGAAAACATGATTGAGAAATAATGGAGGGGTAAACTATTAATGGTTTTCTTATCTGAGAAAACCATGCTGGTTGAAAGGCTGCGTGTGCGACCTTTAACCTTTACTAAGGGCACAAAGTCACATAGGCCACCAAAAGGACAAAGGGGTTATTAGACTGAGTAAAGGAGAAAAACACCCTAAGCCTCAAATATGTCAGGACTATGTCACACAGCAACACATTATCATATGCTCATTCTGACACATTAATATGATCATCATTAGAAAAACACATTCTTTGTGCTGAATATTGCATCAGGCAAACATTCCAAACTTTGTGGCAAATTCAGATGATCTAGAAAGTGAATGTCAAAAAATATATATATTTGGAATTTCTACCGTATCACGCTTAACTATGCATTGATATATTTATATTTATAAAGTATAATATATATACATATAGCTTTAACAATGCTATTGTTTTTTATGAAGATGAACAATAGTCTTGATTAAATCAAAAACATATTGCACCAATGAATCTATCCCTTGGCATCTTGGATTCATAACATTCCAAAGTCTTGTTGTTGGTGTATTTACTCTATGTAAACTAAATAAGGACAGGAAACAATTGATATTAGTCACAAATCAAAAAGCAATGAGCTGCCCAAAAATGTGGAAATCCGACCCTGGTTCCTATTTTAAACTCTATCTTGATGTTACAGCCGCTGTTACCTTGTGCCCTTAACTCTGGTTGTGTGTGTGTATGTAAATGAGCTGTGCGGTTCCTATGCTGTCAGTGGCCGTACCGACCTCGTAACATCCGCAATGATTGGACGGACGTCACCCAATCCCCGCCCGCTTCTGCCACGTCATCCGGGGGAGGAGCATAAAGGCCGGACACGGACACCATTCGGGAGGCTCTGTATTGTGTGACAGACGCCTCAACCCTCGCATTGTGACATTGCCATATTCTGTGATTCCTTACACTGCCTAGCAGTGTGTATTCTGTGCTTCGTTAGACTGCCTAGCAGTGTGTATTCTGTGCTTCGTTAGACTGCCTAGCAGTGTGTATTCTGTGCTTCGTTAGACTGCCTAGCAGTGTGTATTCTGTGCTTCGTTAGACTGCCTAGCAGTGTGTATTCTGTGCTTCGTTAGACTGCCTAGCAGTGTGTATTCTGTGATTCGTTAGACTGCCTAGCAGTGTGTATTCTGTGCTTCGTTAGACTGCCTAGCAGTGTGTATTCTGTGCTTCGTTAGACTGCCTAGCAGTGTGTATTCTGTGCTTCGTTAGACTGCCTAGCAGTGTGTATTCTGTGCTTCGTTAGACTGCCTAGCAGTGTGTATTCTGCGATTCGTTAGACTGCCTAGCAGTGTGTATTCTGTGATTCGTTAGACTGCCTAGCAGTGTGTTCAGTAGGGTTCTGTGCGAGCACACTGAATAGCAGTGTGTCGTAGTATTCTGTGTTTAGTGTAGGGTTTGTGTGTGTGTGTGTGTTGCTTAGATCCAGGTTGATTAGCACCTGTAGACCAGCAGTCCTGTGTGTATACTGCTTAGATCCAGGTTTATTAGCACCTGTAGACCAGCAGTCCCGTGTGTATATTGCGTAGATCCAGGTTGATTAGCACCTGTAGACCAGCAGTCCCGTGTGTATATTGCGTAGATCCAGGTGATTAGCACCTGTGGACCCGCACCAGCTGTGTTTTCCTACAGCCCCGTTTTGTTTATTGTTTTGTTCCACTTTTGAAGTGAGGTACTTTCTTTATTTTGTAGCATACTGTGCAACTCTCTTTTGGAGTCCTATTTTGTTAAATCGTAACAGTTTGGTCCGTTGTTGGTCCAGGCTGTTCGTGTGTATTATTGTGTTCAAAGTTTTGGTTACAAATAAACCACCGGTAACAATTACCAATTCCAAACTGGTCGTGTCGTGTCCCTTTGGTCCCCCTAGCCCAATAGGGAACGTAACACTTGAGAATTAAACTTGATTTGACTTTGATTTTATCTTAAGTTTAATATCTCATATCAGCAGGAACCAAGGTGGCATTATTTCACCTCAGAGACATTGGAAAGGTACGGCTATTCTTGACCCTCCAAGATGCCGAAAAATCATTCATGCTTCTGTTAAAATTTGATTGGAATATTGTGTTGCATTTGGATCCAAACTCTAAAAAAGTGATTTGATATTGTACCAAAACTCTGCTGCTTCTAACAAAAACAAAGAAAAGAGAACACATCTTGGACACACTGCTCCCAGTAGCCTCTACAATTGTGTTAAAGTCCTTCTAAGTGGACACTAAACGTGTTGCTTGTCTTTATTCTGTTGTCATTGTTGTATATGTAAAGCACTTTAAGCGGCATGTATTACATAAAAAGTGCTACAGAAATAAAGTAAATAAATGTTTGTATTATCATTAGCCTCGGTCATTCAGAGATTGCATTGTGTTTCTATAATTTCATGATAAAACAGTTAGGATAGGGTCTATGGCCGCAGCACTGGTGGATGTTGGACTTACCTGATAGCTTGGCCTCCAGCTTGCGGATCAGATCATTCCTCCTGAGAAGCTGTGCAGGCAGGTCGTCCCTGGAGCTGCTGCCATCAGATGCCTACACACCCACACACACACACACACACACACACACACACACACACACACACACACACACCACACACACACACACACACACACACACACCACACACACACACACACACACACACACACACACACACAAAGTTGGTTTATCACAGTCAAAAATCCTCAAATCTGTCTAAAGCACTTAAGTGTTAAGTTTTGTTTTCACAGTAGGTCGTTTCACTCTACTGATTACTTTATAATATGGTGGTTATTAGTCAGAACATTTCAGAAAGTCCACACATCAAGTCCAAAACCTGAAGTGAATCATTGATGTTTCCTATCAAAGTGTTCTGTACAAGCACACACAAATCTGGATCTGCAGAACTCCGACAACACCTCCGCAGATTTTAAATACAAAAGAGATGTTTCTTCGTTATCCTAAATACATATTGTCAATCACATTACAACAGAAATGTGAATAGGTTCTGCAGATTTTCATTCTGGATCATGGCTGTAAACTATTTAAAAAGATATCTCCAGATTTGGGTCTGAATACCAGTGTATTACTGTACATGTCAGTGGTATTTGGCTAGTCAGCTCCAGGTAATACAAATCTATGAAGTGGTTGCAAGGCAAGGCAAGTTTATTTATATAGCACCTTTCAACACAAGGCAATTCAAAATGCTTTGCAAAAATGAAAGACATTAAGAAAATGGCATTTAAAAGCAGCATTAAAAGAAAAAGTACATGGATAAAAATAACAGTGCAGTCTAAGATGTGAATAGTTCAATTAAAAGCAGCGACAAAAAGAAAAGTCTTCAGCCTGGATTTAAAAGTAGTCAGAGTTGTAGCGGACCTGCAGGTTTCTGGGTCTGTCTGTCTGTCTGTCTGTCTGTCTGTCTGTCTGTCTGTCTGTCTGTCTGTCTGTCTGTCTGTCTGTCTGTCTGTCTGTCTGTCTGTCTGTCTGTCTGTCTGTCTGTCTGTCTGTCTGTCTGTCTGTCTGTCTGTCTGTCTGTCTGTCTGTCTGTCTGTCTGTCTGTCTGTCTGTCTGTCTGTCTGTCTGTCTGTCTGTCTGTCTGTCTGTCTGTCTGTCTGTCTGTCTGTCTCTGATCGATCGGAGCAACCCTAATAGTAAGTGATAGACAGATTGATCCAATCACCTGCCAAGTATTTTTGAAATACTTTTCCAAATGGCTTCCAATGGAGCTTTCCTAGATGGTTTGGTGAAACAAACCATCTGAGTCAGGTTAGTAATGCTCCATCACATGTGTTACATCTATTACAGGGTGAATCTTTAACTGAAGCTTGACTTTAAAGCAACCCAACGGAAGTTTCATGTAAGTTTAGTTCTTTCACTCTTAGCTCGGGCTGCGGTGGTGCTATAGGCGTGAGCACGTTGATACGACCTTCCTAGCCGGAGATATGGCCGCCTTTTACAAGAAACCTCCGTTGGGTCGCTTAAAAACAAATATCCCAAATCCAATTGCAATCGCAATATCTGTCAGAAAAATCGCAATTAGATTATTTCCCCAAATTGTGCAGCCCTACTGTGCACTGCCCGGCACTAAAACAGGTCAATTAAGCAGTCACATCCAAAACAAACAACTCAGTTACAAAAGACAGAAAGGTCAGAGCTGTGCGTGTTCTGTTGGGAAACGAGAAGTGAATCAACAGGGCTTCATGTTAGACTGGTTGGTTTGGGACTGAGTTATACCGTATATCCTGCCTACATGAAATGAACACAATGTAATGTGAGGCACACCCCAGCCCTGCTACCTAGAAACTGGTGACTACTTCAAAAGCTGTCAGCCAGGGTTCCCATCATAGCACTGACATTCATTCCTGCCATTTTCTTTGAGTCTCCAGAACTACAGTGACAAGAAATAGTATGTGAACCCTTTGGAATGTCCTGGTTTTAAGCATGAATTGGTCATTAAAGGGGATCTGATCTTCACCAAAGTCACAAGAATAGACAAACAAGCTATTAACACAAACATTTCTAATCTTTTATGTCTTGGCAGGAAAAGTAAGTGAACCCTCTCCATTTTATAACTGGTAAAACCTCCTTCTGCAGTAATAACCTCAAACAAGCGCTTCCAGTAGCTACGATCAGACCTGAAACGAGGGGGGAAGGAGAAATGGAGCATTCTTCCTCACAGAACTGCTTCAGCTCAGCCATACTCTCAGGATGTCTGGTGTGAACGGCTCTCTTGAGGTCATTGTCCTGCTGCACCACCCAACCATGGCTGAGCTTCAGCTGGCGTACACCAGTCTGAAGCTATCCTGGAGGATATCTTATGGCGCGTTTCCACTGTAGCGGGGTAGCCCCGTTTAAGCGTCCCTAAGCATCCTCGCTCAGGCCTCGGGCTGCCTCGCTGGCCGGCCCAGGCCGTGGCGCATTTCCATTACAGTTTAGGACCTGGGGTAGCAACGCAGTGTAGGCGGGGCGATCGGCTTTGTTTTTGTTCACATTTCGAGTTGTTCCGTCGAGCTCCCGCTGGATTTGATCATCCCCAATGAGATGTAGGAACGTCGTCACCTCCTCGGTCGACCACGGTGTGCTTTTCTTATTAGACGTAGCCATTTTTGTAGCTCATCCGTTTACAAAATGCTGTTTATAAAAATGCTGCAAGCTTGCTTCTAGATATATATGCGACGCTAGGGATGAACTCGCGCACAATCTTGTGACAATTCTCTCTGACCAATCAGCAGTCGAGAGTGTTGACGTCACTAGTTCAGCCCTAGCCCTGGTCTGATAGAACCACGATTTTATGAGGCCGGAAAAAGAGGGAAAAAGTACCTGGTACTAGGCTATATGGAAATGCCACCAAAAACGCTTGAGGACGGTTAAGGATGCTTAAACGGGGTTACCCGCTGCACTGGAAATGCGCCATTAGTAAACTTGAGAATTCCCTTTTCTTTTAATGATGGCAAACTGTCCAGGCCACGAGTCAACAACACAGCCCAAAGCATGGTGATCCCTCCACTCAATTTATAAATAAATGCAGGTTATTAAAAAAAGGGTCCACGTACTTGTTCTTGTGCAGAAAACACTGACTTCTACAAGAAGTTTCCTGTCTTTAATTCACCCGAGTATGGCAAAGACAAATTGTAGGCAATACAAAAAACAGCTTTAAAGCTTTCATTGTTGTAATTGCTGCTGTTTTAGTGTGGTTTATGGCATGGTACTGTATATTAAATGATGTATTTAATTATTAACAATTGTTCTGCACTGAGAGGGAAGATGTGATACTGATGACATGTAGTCATTTAGCAGTGGTGCTGCACTTTAGAACATGGCACAGAGGGGATTACTGCAGCTGGACCCAGCATCAAAGTGTATAGCCTTTGCAAAGTGTATAGCCTAACTGGATGGTCCTCACTTAGTATGCGTAGGATGCAGCATTGGTTTTTATTCATGTATAAAGGCATTTTAGGAAAGCTTCCACTCTGCATATGTGCCAGATTTGCTCCAGTTTGTGACTCTCACAACCTCAGACCCAGTGCCTGGATACGGGTCCAGGTTCCTGCTGTGCGGACTGAGGCTTATGGTCCTTGGTCTTGGAATGAGCTTCAATCACGCCTCAAACTGAAGGCACTTGTCCCTATAGCCTGTTTTAAGTTGAAGTTGTCTGAGGTCCTTACCACCAGTTGCTCTTGCAGTAATAAGTAGTACCTTTCTTACTGTCCTAATGTGCTCAATGTAGTGGCTGCTTTTCGTCTTTTGTTTACTTCGTTGTGTTCTCTGTATTTTACATGTCGGTGTTATGTGTAATAACGTTGCTGCCTTCTTGGCCAGGTCAGCATTGTAAATTAGATTTTATCTCAATGCTTTTATCTGGTTAAATAAAGGTTCAATTAAAACAATTAAAACAATTCAACAGAGCATAGAACACTGTCCTTAATATCACAGTGCTGCTTTTTATGGTGGACATACAAGCATCTACAAATAGTAAGGGTGCTTCGTTCAGCAGTTTCTGTTTATCCACTTTCAAATAAACTCACTGTAATGCAGTTCATGAAGGACCCGTTAGGCCACAAACAGATATATTCCTTACAGTTATGGACATTAATCAATTAGTTGAGAATAAAGTGATTTCATTTTTTTTATGGATGCTGCTGTGAACACTGCCATGTTTCACAAATGAGCTACTCGTAAAGCAGAGGTCGGCTACAGTTCCTGCAGTTCATAGAAAGTCCCTTCACGTGTTGTGTGTTGTCAGATCAGGTACATGAAGATGTTTGTTTCACCTTTCAAAGCCCAGAGGCCTGTACCACGAAGCAGGATTTTCGCTTAGCGGCTAACTTCAGGGAAAACTTGGGGTTTCCGGTCCTACGACGCTGGTTCTCTTTTTAGCGGGCTAGATCTCCATGGTAACTTATGCTTAGCGGCTAACCTGGTCGGGACCAGGTTAGGTTGCAGGCTAAGAGCTCAACTCAGTGAAAGCACCGCCTGCTGACCAATCAGAGCTCAGTGTGCGGAGTTCAAAGCGATCAAGTCATATTACAGGAGAAAGGAAATACAGAAAAGCTGCCGTCGCAGGAAAGACGGCCGGCAAAAATCACCGACTGTGTGAACGTGAACATGAATAGAATCCCAGCTGTATTCACCTTGCAGGTGCAGCTCTGTGGCTTTGATCCTGGATCAAGTGTTTAAGTCATGGATGTTTAAAGTTTAACTTCTTCATATGTCTAATATTATAGTTGACTTTTCATTCAGGAAGTATGACGCTGCGCTGTCAGTACGCTTGTCCATGTTTGTGATTGGTCGAATGCTCCAGATACCACCCCTTTAATGTGAACGCGCACCTAACTAGATAGGACACGGCTGGCTTGAGCGATCCACTTGATAACCCGCGTCGTAGGACCGCTTAGCGAGAGCGCGTATGTTTTGGATTAGGCCAACCGGCTAACTCAAACATATCATGGTTAGGTTGAACCAGCTTCGTAGTACAGGCCTCTGTTGGTGTGTCCTTTCAAAGGACACACCATCAGAGGAATGGGGTTTGAAATGGATGGTGGACTCTAAACCACAACTATGACGAGTCGACAACAGCCAACAATATTGTTGGGAACACTTAAGAGCGATTTGATGAACATAAGAAACACTGAAATTAAAACTAAATCCATCTGAATATGAATATATTCACACATGGGGATGGATTAGTTCAATGGTCTTTGAACATATTCGCTATCAGCTAAATAAAATGAACAGCTTCTATATCTCTCTCTCTCTGTCTTTCCTTGCATATCTGGTGCTGAAAGACACACAGATGACAAGGCATCAGTCAATCATCAGCTTCCTTCAGCAGTTTGTATTATTCCTATTATTTCCATCCTTATCTTCATGTCTTTCTGCTGGAGACGTACAGCAGTAACAGGTCATTGATATCTATTATGGGGCCTTGACATGGTTATCGTTACTCAGCGTGGATGCTTCCATCACTGTTTATCGTGGAATCAATACAAATGTGCAACACAAAGATATTATATGGAAAGATAGATAATAACAGTTAAATACAATAAATCATCCAGCAAAAACAAAGCTGTTTAGTTTCTTCTTGAGTCAGGAACAGGAATTACCATTAAATACTTATTATTAGATGAACACTGAAAAGTTACTGAACTATTTTGTAAGGTGATAAAGTATTTCCAAAAAGTTGTCCACTGTGGGTTGGAACACAAAGGTGTGACGGTGTTAAGCAAACCCAATGTAATAAAGTATCCAAACAGTGGTTGATTATTAGTGATGTGTCGGTCGCGAACGAGCCGATTCTTTTGAACGGCTCTTTGGTACAAACGAGGAGAACCGAGTCGTACTTGGTGAGAGCCGTTCTTGTTATCGTCCAATCGTTGGTCCGCACTCACTGCCTGCCAAAATCCACTCGCCTTTTAAAAAGCTTGATTTTGTTCCCCAAACGTATTCTGTGAAGACCCGCCCCTACTGTGATTGGTAAGTTTCAGCACGAGGAGTGAGGTGGGGTGGGTCTTAACGGAATACGCAAGAGAGAGAGAAGTCATAACAAGTGGTAGGCTTAGGCTACAGGACAGGTAGACCACGTGTTCTTCGGATGGGAAATGAGCCAAACTCGAAAACGCAGCAGCATTTGGATGCACTTCAACCAAAACCCAGGCAGTGATAAAGCGCACCATATGTAAAGGCAACATATCCTTTAAAGCAGGGTCAACAAATAATCTCCATCGCCACTTCAATACACAGTATCTAATATTAAGAGTTGCATGAATTTCATTCAAGGCCAGCCAACTTTATTTACTTAACACATACAGAGGGTCAATTCAAAGTACATTCACTGACATGAATGACATAGATATGGCGCCACCTTGTGTCATGTTTACAATGCAGATTATTGACATTAGGTCTGAAATACAGTCAATCATTATCCTGGTGATCATTTCACAGGTAAACCTAGTAACCCCGCCCCCTTTTAAAAAACGGCTCTTTTGAACGGCTCTTTGAAAAGAACGGAGCCATAAGATCCAGCTCCCTTCAAAGAGCCTTAATTCCCATCACTATTGATTATGCATCAAGAAGGGAGCAGACCATCTGCAAAACATTTGATTGCATTAGAATAATAACTTGTGATGAGTTCTTAAAGTACTTACAAAGTCATCCCCTGAGTCTGCCCCTACTGAGGTGATGGATTCCTTGCTGATGGTGCGCGGTATCCGAACACCACTCCGAGGTGCTGTGGCCGCCTCCTCTGCGATCTTCTTCTTCAACTTGGCAAACATGTCTGTCCTTTGAGTGTCTCTCTTTTGGTGCAATTTGCAGTTTCTAGAGAGTAAGGGACTTCCTGTGACACATGGAAGTGTGTGGCTCCTTGTTCTGAAGGCTGAAACAGAGCTGTGTCCTTATGCAGTACCACTCCAAACAAGTTGTTTCTGGTAATTCCATTCTGTTACAGCTAGGAAAAGAAAAGAGACAGTTATCAAAATTGCAAGATTGACAACATGGGTTTATTGTAAGAACAGTCACATGTCACATTGTTGTAATGAGTCCAGCAACAAGATCAAGAGCTTTTCTGCATCCATTATTATCATTTCATAATAGACAGACAAAAGCTGGAACATTTTGGTTGTCAAGTCTTTCTACTTTAAGGGCCATTTATTACAAAGAATAATAATAAGGTGATAATTAAGTAGTTAATTGAAGGATGTGTTTTACTGCACTGGAAAACGATCCATGTTTGTCAAATTGGTATGTCAAAAAACTGTCCAATAATTTGATCATCATTTTCAACCTTCTGAATGCTTCCATTCTGCACCAGAGACTCTAACGGTTTGGGTTCAAATGCTTCTTTGTCAGGTTGAGGAAATGTTATGATGGAGTAAGTATGCAATTCATCAAAAATGATAGCATAAAACTACATTTGGAGTTTGTAAATAAATGTGTTTCCGTGTCAACGCTACAGTGTATTCTTACTGACTCCAACCAAAGTGGTGTCACAAATTGCTGCAAAGTAAAAGCTCTGTCTGTGTGTTTCGTCAGTGTAATCCCATTAGGAAATGTACAATGACACTGTCAGACTATGTTTTGACAGACAGCTAGCCAGCTAGCTCTTCTAGCCATAACAATAAGAGTTAACACCACCACCGGGCGATGCTAGCTGTCGTTAGCTTGCTCGTCACCTTTCTCTTACCATATTAACTTCGACAACGGATCAGTCCGTAGCGTTTTCAAATGTTCAATGAATGTACGTTCGCTTCTTTGCTGTATACACGTAAAGAAAAGCTATCCTTGTGACAGTCAATATGTACTAGCTGTCTCGACTGACAAGCTAGCTGCAGCTAGTTGGTGAGCTACACGTATTCATCCCAACACAGATGACTGATGACGACACGGCGGGGCCTCTGTTCATTGGCTACAGAGCTGAGAGGAATGTGGGCGCATGCGCCGTCTAGAGGATACGGGAGTATCAACCAGCACCTTTAGAGATGTACAAAGATGAACATACTACAACATCTCTGTAACCTGCCTTTAAAATGTGACTAAATAAATAAATAATGTATTAGTATATGTCAAAAACAAATATCAAATGCTTGAGAAACTCTTAATTCTGCAGTAGCTTTGACAAATGGAATCAATGCCTCTCCGTGCTCCAAGTAGCCTAACTGTATTTGCAGAGGTGAAATAAATCATCAGATATTTACTGAAGTGAAAATACCCGTTATAAATAGTGAAAACACTATATTACAAGTAAACGTCTTGCATAAACAATCCTACTAAAGTAAAAGTACAGAAGATGTATTTACATCAAACCATACTCAACTACAACATAATAATAATAATAATAGATTGGATTTTATAGTGCTTTTCCTAATGCTCAAATACACTTTAAATAAAATCTGAACAGAAACAGTACAAAGAAAACAAAAAGAACATAAACAGTAGTCCTAATCCTAGTCAGCCCTAAACTATATTGTTTTATTTCGTAATATGTTAATGAACCCTCCGGTTTAGCTTCTTTGTGTAAATAACTTGTAGTTCTGATGTTAAAACCGAACTTTTCAGGAATAGTTGCTAAGGGGAGTGATTTGTAAAATATGCATAAAGTAAAAGTAAATCTGTTTACAGTTCTGTTTCATATGGGTGTTGAGAGATGTATCCATGGATCTCTTAATGTTGCTCTCGAAGTGCACCAGATTGATGCTTTTAATTCAACATATAAAAAAAATCTTCCCGGGAAAGCATGCCCCCAGACCCCCCTCGAGGAGGTTAAGTCCCCCATGGTCCACCATCTGCCCACACCCCCCATCAAATTGTCCTACCCACATTGAGGATGCTTCCAACGCCTATGCCTGAGACACAGTTTTTCTGAATATTGTTGTTGTTTGCCCCCACGGGCGGGGGTTTAAGTATCCCATGTGTTAGTGAATTTTTATATATTTTCCTTTATAATGGCAGGAAATTAGTATTCAAATGTTGATTGCATTTTTGGTTCCCCCCCCCCCCCCCCAATGTTGACTCCATGGTTACGGCCTTGGGATGAGGTGAGTGAGGTAGGGGGGGGGGGGGGGGGGGGGAGTATAGGGGCAGCGGAGTTTTGGACATATTGCAGTTTATTGAGGATGTATGCATAGAGGATGCTGTTGCAGTAATCCAGACGGATGTAATGTAGGCATGGATGAGAGTTTCAGCAGCGGTGGATGAGAGGGGGGGTCTGGTGCGGGCAATGTTCTTTAAGTGGAAGAAGGCGGTTTTTCTGAGCTGGTTTACGTGAGGGAGGAAAGTGAGGACGGGGTCGAGGATGATACCAAGGTTACGGACGTGAGTTGACGATGGAGCCTTCGATGTTTAGAGGGGAGTCCTGGGTTGAGCGGTTAGTGAGTTTGGGCCAATAATGATTCTTTCAGATTTGTCACAGTTTAGTTTCAGAAAGTTGTTTTGAATCCATGTTTAGATGGCAGTTGGTGAGTTGGGAGTGGGTGGTTGCAGAAACTGTTTTTGTAGCGAGGTAGAGTTGGGTGTCGTTAGCGTAACAGTCAGTGCTTGAATTGGAATGAAAAAGGTGCCAGTACTCTAAAATCAGCAACTTTTTCAAGTCAATTTTATATATACAGCCCACAAACAAGAATTTGGCTACTATAATGCTGGTGGGTTTGTCTCTTTACTACTGTATATTTTAGAAAGGTTCACTGTACTTAACATTTTTTATGATAGGCAGCGGATATGGCTAAAGCTCAGTAAGGTCAATATTAACTGAAAATATAGCAATCAAAGTCTAGATCTTCTGCTGAAGACACATGAAGCAGAGACCTTTCAGGTGAGAGCCCCTCTGGTGGTGTTCAACATTAATGACAAGGAAACAAAGCTCTGGTCAGAAGCATTTTTTATAAAAAGCTTTAACAAAATTAAGTATTTCTGTACATTTTGAATGCAATCTAACTTTCCAACTCAGAAAACGAAAAACGAAAAAGTGCCAAAAGTCTTCTCACATGGCTGAGCTGCTTTGCAATATACTTCACCACTGAAGAATACAAATATGTATAAAGTAAACTATGATGCAATCTAACTTTCCAACTCAGAAAAATGATAAAGAGCATGAAGAAAGAACATGTAAAAACAAATGCAAAATTTGCACAATCTAAAATGAGAAACTGTAACTGCAAGTAACAAAGTCTGAGCCATGGTAAAGAGTTACATTGAACACCAAGCTGATCAGATAACTCCCTGGTTGGTCTGAAGTCCTTCTATCTCCAGGATCTGTACAAATCGGCACATTATGCCAAAAGTCTTCTCACTGGGTGAGCTGCTTTGCAATATACTTCACATTGTTAGAAAAGGCTCCAGAAGGCCTTGGGGACATCAGTATCAGGGGCTGGAGCTGGACAGGCTCTTTCATCAGCACTTCTCCTTCCCTTTGCCAGCCAGGACCTCACATACTGTTCCGGATTGAACTGTCCTAGTGATGGTCCATTACATTTAATGAAAACCAGGCTGGACAGTCGGCTGACAGAGAGAGCATTCCTTTTTGCAGTAAGGATATCGTTCATGCAGCTGAATGCCCGCTCACACTCACTAGTGGAGACAGCGATGGTTCGGACTGCTTTCAGTAGAGGCTCCATGGCAGCAGGTGTACGGGATGCCCTGGTTTCCTTGTATTCGCGAAAGCCCTGAACAGTCTCTCTTCTGTCCACTTTCAGCACTTCGCACAAACGTAGCACCTCTACGTCCCCATACTGTACGTCTAACTCCTCTTCAGGCCAACTTCCAGGATGGATAACTTTCATGTCCTGGATTAGCTGATTGTCCCGGGCCTCCCGGCCATGTAATGGGATTTCTCTTGTGCTGACATGAGAGGAGGTTGTGGAAGTCATTCTGTGTCTCAGATTCTCTACCATACTGCGGAAAAAACTGACCTGCATGAATCTGTACAAGCCTGCCATTCTCACGCAGGGCAACACCCTTGAAGGACTTCTCAGCTAGAGCTGTATGAACTGTAGTCATGTGTGGGCCAGGCATGGTGACCATGGATTCAAAAACTCGTATTTCTCGAGTTAAGAGCCTATCTGCTGTAGGCAGTGTCATCTCTCTTTTTTGGAGTTGCAGAGAGAGGTCGCTGAGCTCTGTGAGCGCATCGTACATCAGTCCCAGATTGCTGACAAACGTTGCAGATGTGAGCACATCATCCAGGCCCTTGTACTTTGCTCTGTCTCTGGAATCCCTGCTCGTGTCGTTTGCAGCATTTGTGAAGTGATCATGAAGCACTCGGTAGTTTTCCCAGACTGCTCTGACGCTCCTTTCACTTGAAGCCACCCAGCGGATGGACAAAACACGCCCTATCACCAGGAGACGCTGTCCGACTGCTTGCGCACACTGCGCTAACTGCCTCTGATTTTTGGGGGAGTGGAACAAGGAATAGAGTTTGTCAAAAAAGATCTGGAAATGATTGAGCCCTGAGACCTCCTTGACCACATCCCCAACTGCCAGCTCTAGACGATGATTGGAGCAGTGCCACACAAACAGGCTTGGGAATTTACTACACAACTGGGTAGCAACGCCTGTTCTCTTCCCTAGCATGACTGAAGCCCCATCACATTTAAAAGAAACTAAACACTGACCTAAAAAGTCCTCGTTAAAATCTCTTCCAAGACACTCCATTAACGCCTTTGTGATGTCATCAGCCGTTGTTCCATCCAACTCGATCAGCTCCCCAAAAAAACGTTTCGGGCTCAGCATCAGCTAATGCTGAGCGTAGACACACAACAAGCACCGTTTTTACCACTAATAGTGGTAGATTCATCGACCAAAACACAGAGTTTTCTTTGGTTTTCTGGAATGTCTTTTGCCATTTTTTTCTTCAGCTCATGAGCTATGTGGTCGATGATTTCGCCACAGGTTTTATTGGAGTGCAAAACCCTGCCCACGTTCAGCCCATTCAGTTTCTGTACATTCAAATCAATTGGCATGTCTGTGAATGGCCGGCTATGTTTGCCAATTTTATATGCCGTTCGAAAAACTAGTGGTGGTGTCTAATTCAGATTTATGCATAGACTGCACTTGATGTTGAATAGTTTCACGTGAAGCAGATGTAAGGATGTCAGCAGCTTTTACATGGGCTTGTGATTCTTTATGTTCTTTGATTTTTTTTCTCAGGCTAGCTTGTTGTTTGCCCTTGTCAACACCGAAATGAGACACTGCACACTCACCCCATTCAGTTGACAGTTTCAGTCCTTGTCCAGTGTGTATTCCCAAAGATTTGACATCTCTGCATATCCGACATCCTAGCTTCTTATCTTTAAGAAGGAGCCATGCATTGGTCTTGCAAAAATATTGCACCTGGTCCGTTGTCCAGCAGTCAGGTGCATCGCTTTGCCCGTTGTTGGTGGTGGCAGTTGAGCCAGCAGCAGCTAACGTTAGAGGCTCTGGAGGAGGCGGCGGAGCTAGTGCTAATGCTAATGCACTAGAACTTGGAGCAGGAGGATCAACCAAAGAAAGCTCCCCATCAGACACAATTTCCAACACAGGCACAGCATTCTCTGTATTTGAAGTTTCTTCCGGCGACAAACGCTGTCTTTTTGCACTTGTATTAATCCACGCTAACATTTTAGAAATGCTAATTTGTGACGTGACTTGCTTTCCTTCTCTCGGGGGCGTGCCTGCTCTGTTCTATCACTCTACATAGCCACCCACTGGGTGGGAGTTGCACTGCATAAACACAACACACGTGCATCTAGGTATGTAAATTGTAAAGCATTAAAACATGGTTTTACTAACAGTTTTCAGTATGTTGTTACTTCGGCATTATTATTATTATTATTTTGAAACGTGTATTACTATTAAATCACGGTCAAATAGGTTAATTTTGACATAGTCGTTTCCACCACAGTATTTACATGGAGAAGATAAGCCCCGCCCCCCTCTCCAGCACGTTCTGTTTGAATGACAGGAGTAAACAGCTGACAGCCCGCTGTGAAACTCCAGCGGTTAGAGCGATGAGAATGTCCGTTCGGCACCTCATGACTCATCTACTGAGTACCGGGCGGCTGTATATATATATGGATGTATAATAAGAACGGCGGGAGAGTGTTGAGTACTGGCACGGTGCATGAGTACCGGAGTACCGCCAGCATGCCGGTACTGAGCAAGAAGTGCCGGTACTCCATGGGTCAGAACCAGAAGTGCCGGTACTGCGTACCGGTGAGTACCGGCCCAATTCCAGCACTGGTAACAGTGGAACCGAAGTCGGTGTTTGCGGAGGATCTGTCCAAGCAGGGGACCAAGTACAGAGCCCTGGGGGACGCTGTGAGTGACTGAAGCGGTGGGGGATTTGCAGTTGTTGATGGAAATGAATTTTAATGTTGTAGCTGTTCAAGATGGTCATTTAAAAATATACTGTTAGTAGTTAAACCAATAATAATGCTACGGCTGCAACTGAGTTATGTAGGCACATTTTTATTGATTAAAAGAATAAACACAAATAGCAGGATAGGCACACATATTTGCTATATCTTGCCCCACTGAAAAGGCACCGCACCGATACTGTTAAAAAATATTGGCATAGTTCATCCCTGTGCTGCTTGGCTCGAGCTGTAGCATGTAGCTATTTGTCGTTTCTATATATCACGCAGTCGGTCTTCTGGCTGCCTCTTTTGAATGACGAATACACACTACTTTGCGGTGTGTTCCAGTGCGACTTTTTGGCCAGGCGACGCGAGGCGACACAACAGTCGTGTTCCGTCGGGACGTGTTCTTTGGTGTCAGTTTGGTGTGTAGGAGCCTTAACATGAATATAAAAGTAGAAGCACTCCAACTGTGTTCAACTCACATTTACAATTAATGGATTTCTTTATTTAAAAACAGAATGGTTACACAGAAAACAAATAATCACAAGCACTGATTCCAAATCTTGAAATCAGAGAGAATCTTCAAAGGTATCACAGGCCTTACAGAATTCTAACAAATGGATATAGCCATTTGTTTACACATTTACTCCCATGTTTATTTATAATATCACATAATAACACTAAGTGTATAACTCCAATTTGTGCAGTGCTTTATTATCTGACATCCAGTTTTAATACATAAGCATAACAAAATAAATTGAGACATTGTATATAACACTGCACCTGCAATTTCTCAGCAGAGGGAATTTCTATAGATAAGTACAATCTAAATGTATAAATATGAACGTTTTACAAGGGTCAATTCCATCCTTCCTCTAAAACAACACAGCGCCACTGCTGCGCCACCTCACTTAACTGTACTGGGGATAACAACGGGCAGTTGGCACAGCAAAGTGCACTGTAAATACTCTAAATGTACAATACAAAATTCATATGGGTTTATAAGTGCTGATGCCACCGTCTGTGCACTGAACAAATGGCTGCTTGGTTTGAATGGGCTTACAGGAAATAGGGTGTAGTTGTTCGGGGTGGGATAACCCTCTCAGAGTCAGGCACTGCTCTGAAGAGCTTCGGTTCTCTTGTGTTAGCATCTTTAAAGACCATAATGGAGGCGATGTTGCCGCAGCGATAGCAGTAGTTGGGAGCCGACCACACTGTGACCAGCTTCTCATCGAACATGAACTTGTAGCCTTCGTGGACAAGTTGGTGTGCCCTGCAGATCAGCTTCAGGTTGTTGATGTGAACAAACTGCAGTTTTTGAAAGATGGAGAAAGAAAAAAAAGAAAATATGTTAAAAAGAAGAACCTTCTTGTATTGTTATTGTTGGGACCCACAAGATCATTGAGAGGAACAGTTGAAGGACTTAAATACAAGAAGTAAATACACAACATCAGGTAACAAATGCTGTGCTCACGTCACTGTCATTTTGGACATATAAAGTGATATTTTATTTATGAATTAAAATGTAACAACGAAGCACATGTAAAATGACAGATGTTGCATTAGCTTTCACTACACTGAACTGCCAACAGCCTCATAGCTACTGCCTCTTGCTCACAGAGGATTGAGAGGCCAAGTTCTGTTTGGAGTCAGGAAATATCCTATATTTCACGTACCACAAAGCTTTGCATTGCTGCTACTTCTATGGGGCTTGTACACTGTGTATTTTCAGTGTTGCATCATGACAGCAGCGAGGTGGACTCGAGTTGTTGTTGACTTTAAGTCATGCGACTGGAGCCAGTGTTTTACTGACGCCCAACTTGACTTGACAGAAATAAACGACTTAAGACTCGACTTGAAAGTGAATGACTCTTGTCTTGATCTGAGACACGTTGAGCTGAACTACTATTTTATATTTTCAAATTAAATAGTGAATATATAAAAAGTTTATGTTGACATTTGGAGTGGAGCAAATCAAATAAATGCTCCCATTGCATAGGTCATATTTGTGTACTTTCGTTAATGTTGTTGCCGAGCATGTAAGAACTCAAGTGAACGTATTCTTGTAACACAATCAAAGTGAGGCCAACCTACCTCATTTGTGACCTTTGCACCAAAGAGCCAGCCGGCTCCTCTGGGGCTGATGGCCCAGGTGTCCACGTCTTCAGGGTCTGACCACACCAGGTCACAAAAGGCTCCTTTGTGAGGGATCTCCTGGTTCCGCTCAATGGTTCGAATTTGATCCAGAGTTTTTATGTCTGGGGAGAGGCCTCCGTGGACACATAGGATCTGCTCGTCCATCAGCTGAAAACAACCCAAAATTCAGATGTAGGTCCTAAATGTATAGATATAATGAATCAAACTGTATTTATTTGACAGAACCAGCTCATTTGTGGAGGCTTTGTTAGTAATGAAAAGCAGAATGATCTATCACATTACATGTTGTTTAACCCATGGTTAATAAACATACTGTATCCAGTGGTAACATATATCATCAGGAAAACAAGTTTGCTTCCTATATGAACAAAGTGCATATCAAATGTTGTGTCATGGTTTATGTTTGCAAAAAATGTGGCGGTGAAAGAGAAGAATTAACAAAATTAAAGAGGAGATGGACTGAAATCAACTTCTATGCAATTTTAAAAAACTGCCCAACCCCCAAAACATGCTGTGATAGTGTCCCAGTAAGTTGCCTGTCTTTAACATAGTCCATGTAAATACTAAGATCATAAAAAGTGAACCATCCTGAGCTTCTCTAGCGAGACGCCATGGATTTATCTCTCTACTGAGACATCATTTACCATCAGAAATAAACAAGTTTTAAAGGCATGATGAACTATCATTTATCAGGTCACATATCAATCTTCCTTATTTATTAACAACAACCAAACTCAAGGCCCAGTCACATGGCAATACTTACAGCTGCAACTGTTAACATATCAAACACTTTGGTGCAGTAACGCCAGGCATTTGCATTCCCATACTTGGTCTGGCACTCATCTGAAAGACAGACAGAGTGAACATTTATTTCAAACAGAAAGGTATGATTATTGTCCAGGATGTGAGATATGGGACAGTGCAGATTGAAGATGGGCATTAATCCAATCCTACCATAAAAGCCATACACCTGGGTGATCTGTCTGCTCTCATGGTTTCCACGTAGAAGCGTGATGCGGTCGGGCCATTTGGCTTTCAGCACAAGCAGGTAGGTGAACGTCTCCAAACTGTAATAACCTCGGTCAACAAAGTCGCCCTGCAGATGACAGAGGATTACTAACATCTGTTGAATAGAACACATTGAGACAGATTCATTTGAGTTCAAACTTATTTCAATGCACAAACCATAAATATGTAGTTTGTGTCAGGAACCTGGCCGCCCGTTCGGAAGAGTTCACAAAGATCATAAAACTGTAGAACAAAGAGATGCATGGTTAGTGCATACATCACTTATGCGTACAAGAGACCAACATCTCTGTACACCGCAGGATGTGCAGCACCATCAGGGGAGACAAAGAACTTCTGCTTCTTACCTGTCCATGTATGTCACCACATACTGTTACAGGAGTGGAGACGGGCTGCACGTTGGACTCCTCCAGCAGAAGGTCACACACGTAATCACATAACCTCTGTATTGATAAAAACACACCACACACTCATTAACCACGAGTCATCATTCAGCACTAGCATGCTTTTCACTGAGACCATTTTAAGGTCAAAACTTAATATTCTTCCAAGTGAACAGCGTGTGAAACGGTTTACAGTCTGCGACACCTTGACTCATAAAATCGTCTTTAAATCTGAGATGTAATATTGTCGTTAAATGAACAACTAATAGGGGATGGAAAGATTTATATTTTTTTCACAGATCACAAGAAGAAACTCCCTCAAAAATGGACCATGGTGAACTTCCACTATCGGGCTTTACAAGACAAGCAAACTTCCCAGTGATCCGCACTGGCCTTAGGGTCAGAACCTTGGATGTGTAATCTTGTTACTTTCTTAGTACACACCCACTAGTGTCTATAAAATAAGATATGTTGATATTGACTGCTTGGTCAGTGGGTCACAGCATGACTGTGACTTACAGCCAGCCAAAGAATAACAGTGCTGGGCTACAAGTGGTTTCATATTTGAAGGTGTACACACATTAGGTTATCAGTGTAAGAATACTTCCCTTTTATACATTACACTGCATGTTCAGGGGCCCAAAAGCAACTGGAGATATTAAGAGAAGTGTTATTAAAATAAATCATAATTTTGACTTGTTCGTAGTTGACATTCACTCTAATCAGCAGATTGTAACCTTCAAACTCACTTTCCTTTAAGTACACTAGTACACTGTGTAACTTACTAGTTATTATAACCTTACTAATTATTTTAAATATGGTGCCAAATTTACTTTACTAGTATTGTTAGTTTCCTACTATCAAATGCTGTCTCTTGAAAGAAGCTAACACACTACTTACATCCATTCAAAATCTTGCACAGTAAATTAAAAGTTCAATGCTTAATGTTCCAGTTTACAGATTGAATGAGGTGTTATATCGTTGTAGAAAGTGGATCACATCACTCCAGTTCTGAAGTCTTTACACTGGCTTCCTGTGTGTCAAAGAATAGATTTCAAAATACTGCTGCTGGTTTATAAAGCACTGAATGGTTTAGGCCCAAAATACATTTCTGACCTCCTGCTAAATTATGAACCATCCAGATCTCTCAGGTCTTCAGGGACTGGTCAGCTTTCTGTCCCCAGAGTCAGAACTAAACATGGTAAAGCAGCGTTCAGTTATTATGCTCCAAATATCTGGAACAAACTCCCAGAAACCTGCAGGTCCGCTACAACTCTGACTACTTTTAAATCCAGACTAAAGACTTTTCTTTTTGTCGCTGCTTTTAATTGAACTATTCATATCTTAGACTGCACTGTTATTTTGTATGTTTACCCTACAGCAGGGGTGCCCAACCAGTCGATCGTGGGGAGATTCCCAGTTGATCGCGAGATGTGTCTAAAAATAGAACAACAATATTCTGTTTTATCGTTAACGTCCTGTAACATAATCTTCCTGTGCCAGAATAATGCACTTGAACGTATCAAAGCTTTGATAACCCTTTATCGAAGAAGGGTAATTTAGGAGCGGCATTTCAAAACATTGCACAAACGCTACGAGACGGAATTCCCTCCTAATTCTGCCCTACGCGCCCAAAAGGGGAGGGGCCTGAAAGGACAGCTAAATGCACAGCAGTCCATTTTCACCAGGCCCAACAACAAGAGCAAGGCTGCTACCACAGCATCTTATCGTCAGTCACGTTCTTGCGAAACACATGAAGTCTTTCAAAGACGGCAAAGTTGTGAAAGAAGCATTCCTGGAGGCTGCCGACGCGCTTTTTGGGGACAGTAAAAATAACAGTAGCATTTCAACAGGTTTTTGATATAATACAAACTCAAGTTAGATACCGTTATTAATCAGCTGTAAGTTTTAGTTTGAACTTATTCATTATAATTATTGTACAAAATGGTATAAGAATGCAAACATTCAGATCTGTTCTGTTTAAATTGATTATAGTCTATTATCAATTCAGGTTAAGAAACTAGTGTTGCTTGCATCCTATTTTAAAAAGGCATTTCTTTTTATAATCTACTAAAATGCAACAAAAAAGGGTTTGATTCTATTAATGTTGTCTTTTTTATTGCACTTTGGCAGCAGATTCCTGTGTAGCTTCAGATCTGAGTTGTCTTATTAGTAAGCCTAATGTATACTTTTGTAGCAACACTATTTGTATATAATGGCAAAGAAAGGGTTCAGAGTCTTTTCTTTTTTCCCTGTGTCATATGTGGCAGCACTGTTCAATGTTTCTTGAAAACATTACCCACTGTAATGACGTGTGAATAAACTCCAACTCTGTATCAACAACAGTTGTGTAACTTCAGTTAAATACTTGTATGTGTGTAGATTAGAAAGAGGTAAGATAAAGGATCTGCAGTATTTTATGAAGTATTAATCGTACAAAGGTCAGTTTTATACAAGTAGAAGTGTGTATTTACCTGGTAGTAATGGCTACGCCTCTCTATTTGGACTGGTAGATCTCGGCAGACTGGCAACTTTAAAAGTAGCTCTCGGTTCAAAAAAGGCTGGGCACCCCTGCCCTACAGGGTAACTTGGCAACCTTGACAAGACTGAGCTGCTTTTTCTTCCGGGAAAAAAGTGTCCCTCTCTTGACCTAACAATCAACATCGGCCCCTCTGTTGTTTTCCCGACTCAGAGTGCAAGGAATCTGGGTGTGACCCTAGATCAGTGATTCTCAAATGGGGGTACGCGGAGTACTGCAGGGGTACGTGAGATGTATTTTATGTTAATGAAAAAAACGTAATTAATGCGTTTAAACAAACTACTAATAGTAGATGAACTACTTTATTCAAAGGTTTACAGAAACTCTGGATAATAACATGGGGAAAATAAACGGGGTGCTCTCTTTTCCTCTCCCTCTCCTGACAGCCCGTCAGTCTCGTGCAGCTCGCTGAACCTGTAATAAGTGACCCGACAGTAAAGAACACACATATTTCTTATAACTAGTTTAGCTAGTTCCAGAGTAGATAAACTAGCTAAGTGTGTTAGGTCTAACTCTTACGGAGCGTCCACACTACAGCTTCAAAAAAAGCTTGGAGCTGGGCGTGTCTGAAGCTTGAGGATTTTATTCAACCAACGCAACCAACGCGACCAACGCGACCAACAACCAATCACATGAATCTCCCGCCCCCGACATACAAAGCAAAAACCCCCGGGGATTTTATGGGAGCAATATATATATAAACTCCCCAAACAAGCGAAAACCTACCAGTTTCACCCACTGTCTCTGCCACCTCCCTCCATGCCTGGTTCCTCCGGTTTGTATCCCGGTAGGTGAAGAGGGTCTGGTCATACAAAACCGGGTGATTTGCTACGGCGATAATTAGTTTCTCCTCCATCTTTTTTTGAAATATAGAAATGAACGGCGGGATATCTCTCCCAGCTTAGACGCGGTTTGATTGGCTACGGCTTGAGCTGTCAGATTTTCCGAAACGGGATTTGATTGGCTGGCGCTGGCTACTCCGGCGTCAGAAGTTGAACATTGTTCAACTTCTGACGCTGGAGACGGCGGAGACGGACCGCTACGCTACCCACAATTCAGTTCGGCGAAAAAGCGAGGCAACGTGACGTCACCCCATTCAACGCTGTCGACGCTGTAGTGTGGACGGGCCGTTAGTGTATTTTGCTCCACTCAACGGTCCGTCACAGCAGCGGAGCTGTGATCATGCAGAGCTGCGTGTTCTCCGTCAGCAGCAGCTGATCTCTCTCTCGCGTCCGGTTAGACTTCACTCGCGTTTATGTCCAAATCTATCAGATCTAGCTACACTGAACAAAAATATAAACGCAACACTTTTGTTTTTGCTCCCATTTTTCATGAGATGAACTCAAAGATCTAAAACATTTTCTATATACACAAAATAACCATTTCTCTCAAATATTGTTCACAAATCTGAAAAAAATCTGTGATAGTGAGCACTTCTCCTTTGCCGAGATAATCCATCCCACCTCACAGGTGTGGCATATCAAGATGCTGATTAGACAGCATGATTAATGCACAGGTGTGCCTTAGGCTGGCCACAATAAAAGGCCACTCTGAAAAGCGCAGTTTTGCTTTATTGGGGGGGTCTGGGGGGGTCCGAAAACCAGTCAGTATCTGGTGTGAGGGGTAGGATTAGGGTTAGGGGTAGGGTTAGGGTAATGTTGTGAATTGAGTGGCCCATGGTGGTGGTGGGGTTATGGTATGGGCAGACGAACACAGGTCACTCGATTCACAGCATTACCCTAACCCTAACCCTAATCCTACCCCTCACACCAGATACTGACTGGTTTTCAGACCCCCCCAGACCCCCCAATAAAGCAAAACTGCGCATTTCAGAGTGGCCTTTTATTGTGGCCAGCCTAAGGCACACCTGTGCAATAATCATGCTGTCTAATCAGCATCTTGATATGCCACACCTGTGAGGTGGGATGGATTATCTCGGCAAAGGAGAAGTGCTCACTATCACAGATTTTTCCAGATTTGTGAACAATATTTGAGAGAAATGGTTATTTTCTGTATATAGAAAATGTTTTAGATCTTTGAGTTCATCTCATGAAAAATGGGAGCAAAAACAAAAGTGTTGCGTTTATATTTTTGTTCAGTGTAGTTCTAGTTAATGATATGACTGCCTGCTTATCAAAGGACACCTAAACAATAAGCAAAGTATAGCGCAGCATTATGCATATGTTTATATGAGGGGTCAAAATTAGGGATGCACGATATTGGTTTTTTGAAACCGATACCGATAACTTCCTGCTTCTCAAGACCGATACCCGATAATAAAAAAAAATGTACGCCACTAATTATTTTAACGCGATTAACGCATGTGTATTTTTTTTCCTCGGCCGCCCCGTAGTTTCAGAACGCATCGAGTTTAAAATACCATCTACAAGCTGATGCTGACAACCCCGCTCCTGCCGCCCGCTTGTGGCAGACCACACTTCCACGCTCACCGGCAGGTACCGACTGGCCATCGGGAGGACCGGGAGGGTGTGTGTATGTGTGGCCCGAGCGAGCGAGAGAG